GACCACATCTCGATCACAAATTCCCATCGCACAACATAAAGGAAAGAAACGAACCTGATCTAGGGGCAAACGCGGGTTGATGGGTCCTGTTTTTGCGCTCAAGGAGTTCGGACAGGCTGGCCTGGAGCCTTGCTTTGCATGTATCTCAAAGGGTCAAGGTAGCCAGGAATTTACTTGCACCCGTTTCACCATCGCGCACCACAAGAGAAAGAATCAAACCTGATCTAGGGGCAAACGTGGGCTAATGGGTCCTGTTCTTGCGCTGGAGCTGCTTCGGACAGGCTGGTCTGGAGCCTTGCTTTGCATGTATCTCAAAGGGTCGGAGGTAGCCAGGAATTTACTTGCACCCCTTCCACCCTCAAAGATCATCACCTGCGATGCCGCGGTGGAGTCCACGAGGTGCCAGCAGGCCGTGAGCACTTCCCTAGTACACCGTTTCGCGAAGGGCGGCTATCCCCTGGCAGCACGTGTGCGGCAGCCAGAGAGCCAAGGTAGCCAAGGCCTGGCCCATGCCGACCATCACCGCGCTGCCGACCATCGCCGGCGTAGGGCCTCGATCACGGCGACACTGCCTGTGATCCTCCCTGGGGTTGGGCAGGGATCCGAGCGGTGGCGAGTGGCTGCGAGCGGCCAGGGCCTCGTCGCAACGCCAGGGCAGGCGACGCGCGGGGTGGCGGCGGTTGCTTGGTCTTGAACGAGCGGGCGCCGGCAGTGGCGGCAGACCGTTGATTTCAAATTTCGGGATGACACACCACACCAGGTGATGCGATGTGGTGTGGACTACGCCTGCTTGCCCCGAGACCTGTCCCCTTGTGCGCGATCGAGGCAGACGCAGATCGCGGGGCAAGCCTTTGCTCTCGCTCACCGATCGCCCTTGCACTCGCTCACGGAACGTCGCCTCCAGGAACGCCCCTCGTTCGGCGCATGGACATCCTGAATCGGCGCGGAACCCCAGCCCATCCTGCCCCTGGGTGCCCGCGTAACTTCTTCAAGAACCCCTGCACACACGCACCTTCATTTCGCCCCGCCAGCCCTTCGTCCAGCACCGCCTCTCACGCCGCTCCGTTGTGCGTGTTCCGCGCTGGAGCCATTCATGCTTTTCGTCTTCGTTTTGCCCGTCACATACTCATCAATTAAAAAGGGGGTTCGTTTTGTGTTGGCTGGGGCGGGGGCCCACTTGGCATAATTCCTGATGGACGGCGGGATTCGCACATCCAGTCTTGAGGTCATGCGACCAGTATCTATTTTCAGCTATGCTACACGATGTTTGGTTTTTCACAATTGAGTGAAGCTTGGGTGCAAAAATCATCACACGATTTGTTACACGGTTGATTACCCAAATAACACAAAGGAACACGATTCTGAGCTGCGCAACATGATTTCCAGCTGCTGGCAGCTACCTCTAACAAGGATACATGGCTGGGTACGCGACGCACTACACGAAAGTACACGATGTTACACGATTTTCAACTATAATATATGGTGTTTCATCGTTCAAAAATGAGTGCAGCTTGGGGGTGCAAAGTTCATTACACGGTTGACTACCCGAGCAACACGAAGGAACACGATTTTCAGTGAGGAAACGCGATTTCCAGCTCTTGACAAATGACTCCAACAAGGGTACACGACTGGGTACACGACTCATTACACGGACAGAACACGGTGTAACACGATGTTACACGATTGTACACGATTTTCAGTTGTTTTCAATTGACCGCACACAGATTACACGATTTTACACGATTTTACACGCATAACACGGTGTGTCATTTTCAGGACCGTGTACTTTGGCCGATTTTTTACTAGTGGGCCTCCTCTGATGCGCAGCCCGCGGCGAAAAAACAAAACATCGGCGAGGCCGCGCACGCGGCGGAGTACCTGCTGAGCAACCGCCTGTGGCACTGCGCCTCCGCCGCTCTGAACGCGAGCCTGGCCGCGGGGCTCCCGGTGACCTGGTGTACGGAGGTGACGAACGAGGAGGATCTCGATGCTAGCAGGCTGGAGTCGGTGACCTTGGCCGCGAAAGGGGCTGCCCGGGAAGCCCTTTGAGAATGGCACTATTTAGACCAGGCTGGGTCTTGCTTTTGTGCGACAGAGTTTTGGTGTTGGAGTTTTGTAGTTTTGTGTCTTTGGTTTTGGCGGCGAGGCCTTCCGGGCCGCATCCCCCAAGGGGGGCGACTGTTGATGGAAACCGCAAAGGGCGGGTTGAGTAATTCGGAGAAGTGCGTGGCAGAAATGAAGCCGTCTTGTTTGCGTGTTTTCTGATTCGTCGGTTGCTGAGTTTTCTTGTCTGGGTTGCTAAATTGGGTCATCTGCATGTTGTGCTTGGAGGATGCGAGGCTGGAAATCCATTAGATGAGGCAGCGAGTGCAGGGAAATTGCACGACTGCTTGTGTCGATGCAGCAATGTGCCAAATGAGCATTTGCATGGGAGTGTGTTGGAGGGAAAGGGTTCAATGCAGGATTGGCGAGGGGCCACTCGGTCTTTCATCTGAAAATCATAGTCGAATTTTGCATGGGAAGAGAAACTTGTTGGCGATGAGCTGCTTGGGCTTGTGCGGGGTCGGCCACTGCCACCAACCACATGTGGCTGTCGTGTTCCGCGTTCCCATGGTGGTGTTGATGTGACGTGGCTTGATCCACGCGACCTGTTTGATGGCATCGGAATGATCGATGTGAAGGGATCGATGCGGCCGGGCTTGTGTCATGGGTGTGTCTCTTGCCTCTTGTCGCAGTTGCATGCCATAACCTGCTCCTTTGCTCCTCATTGTCAGCTTGCTCGTGGCTGTGCGTTCCTGTGTATTTACTTAAAATTTTAGCTAAAGATCACCGTTCAGAAATGTCCTTTTAGGAAGTCCATGTTTGCAACATGTGCCAGAGTGAATTGAAGTCCTTCCAGCCAACGTGAAAAACCGACACACCGATCATGTCATATGCCTCTGCCGAACTCAGATGGTCAAACAGCGCCCGCCTTCTGGCGGTCTGCAAAACCTCATAAAGATTGGGAAAAAAGGCGCGTACAGTATCATTAAAAAGCGGCGTAAATGGGAGGAACAAATAGACTCTTTTCTGACCTTTACTCGGTGCGCGGAGGAGGGTAGAGTGCCCGCGGAGGACCGAAGGGTTGCGTCGATTCTCCAAAATGGCGCCGACGGACAAAACGATATAGAATGATAGAGAATGGTTTTCGCCCTCGTTTAAAACAAGATTTGCTTAAACCAGCAAATTTAGGCCCCTGGAGAGGAAGAATTGGATGCCATGGGCGCCGCTTGCACTCGCGCGGCTGCGTGGCCAGCGCAACAAATCCCGCAGCTGTCGGTTACGCTTCGGTCCCTCCCGTACATGGAGTCGCGGAGGTCGCGACGGCCGTGAAGTCACGAAGGCCCTTCTGGGGCTGGGGTGTTGCCTTCCCTCCGGTCCTCAGGGCTTCAGGTCCCCGGAAGCCTTCACGACCTGGGCGTTCCGAGATGGCAAGTGTGTGAGCTGCGACCATGCGGTGGAGTTGCCTGCGAGAGCTGCATGGGAAGTATGGGCCCGGTAAAGCGGCGTCTGTTGTTGTGATTCTTTCCAATTATCGTGTCGTGTCGCAAAGCAGGTTGTGTGCCGGCTTTCGCGCCGCACAAATGCACCGCGCGGAGTGGCAGCGTGGGTCCAGCTGCGGTGCAGGGGCGGTGGGCACCAGCACAGGTGGGCTGGCATATTTTACAGTGCGCCGTCATTCGCGACCTTATGGCGTCGCCCAACGGCTCTAGCGGGCTAAAATGGCGCCCACTGACTGCTCCGAGAGGCAATTGAGAGCAGCTTCACCGTCCGCAGGACAAGCATATGGGTAGCGGGACGGCCGCTCGGGCGCAAACGAAGTCATGGCAAATAGGCCATGCTGCCGCTTGACTGAATCGCGACTTGCCCAAGGAAATGGGTCGGCAGAGAGCAGATAAGAGCCCAGTTGCAAATTAAGCACAGCGAGATTCACGCTGATTCCGTTAGAACGCAATCTTCAACATATTCTCACAATCTTCCTGCGCAGTTGCACAGGCAAGGCCCCAGATTGAGGAGCTGGAGCGCTATCCGTTGTCGATACCTAGGCGAGCATCTTTATGGCTTTGGGTTACGGCAATGTTGAGAGCGCCCAAAGCCTGGCAGTCCCCAAACAGCCAAACTCGGCTGCAAAATCCCCAATCTCGACATTCCGGATTGCAATACCATGGGCCACCTAACGGAAATATCGCTGGAAGTACACATTCTGAAGATGTTCTCCAACCTTCCAAGCAAGAGCACTCATGATCAACACCCCGCGTAGGGGCACTTCCCCAAAATGAAATGTTGTATTCAATGACATTGATTCAATAACCAACGCGTTCACAAGACCGCGGCAAGTGTGCCATAAAATCCAGATGCAATCGTGTTCAGCGCCTGAGAGCATCCAAATCTGGTACAGTATGGTACCAAATAGTCATCAAATCAGTCGCAAATTCGTTTGCTGCCCAGCAGCTCGTTCACTGGAATTCCGCGTCCAAAAACGCACAATCCGCGAGCCAAATCACCCCTCAATGTCAGGGCTTCGGAACCCATGTACACCCCAAACTTTGTAGCCAAAACACACATTCAAAAAATGGTGGTTTCCACCATGCAAATCTTCGCTTCATTTCAAACGCCCGTTATCGCCGCCTTAAGCAGCAGCGCCCACAAGCACTGTCGCCCAGGAGGCCCCGGGCCCGATTTCAGTTCGCACCAAAAATGTGCGTTGTGTCCCACATTACATAGAACCTCTTCACCGCACGCGAAAAAAGCCTTGCTCCACCCGACTTTGAAATCGATCCCCAATTCAATCTTTGCCTCAGAGAGAAAACACACGCCGAAATCCGGTTCAAACTCCATCCCCAATTTTACCTCTGCCTCTTAGAAAAGGGGCAGAACCCACTCCGAGCTCGATCCTTCCCCGCAGCAAAAAGTCTCAATCCACTTCAGATTCGAATTCCCAAAGGACCCGGCGCAGCCACTCACGAGCTCATGGACCAAAACGCCGACTCCAGTCTCTCCGCGTCCAGGTCCTCGTCGGGTATCGCCGCCGGGCCCCAGGTCACGGGGATGCCCGCCCGGAGGCAGGCCCTCAGGAAGGCGGACGCGCAGTGCCACATGTGGTTGCCCACGAGGTACTCCCCCATGCGCCGCGCCTGCTCGACCTCGACTGACTCCCCGCGCGCCATCCCTTGGAGCATGGTGGAGAAGTCGGCGCACACCGGCCGAAACATGACGGTCCATACCGCCTCGTTCAGCAGCTGGTCCCTCCCAGGGGGCGGGAGCGTTGCGGGAGGCGCTTCTGGGAGCATCTGCGTGACGTTGTGGGCGTTGGTGGCTCGCGTCAGTGCAGATTCACGGCGCTGGTGCTTGGGTTTGGCGTGGCTTGTAAGGCTGGCGCAGAGTCGTGGACACCGGGAAATGGGCCCCATTTCGCACGTGCTTGCTAACTGCGCGCGAATTGTGGTAGAACTGGAAAACCTTGCGTGTTCGAGTTCCTTTCATCGGTGGTTTTTGAAGCCGCTTTTCTATTGTGAAATGTTGGTTCTTGCTAATAGCAAAATAGAAGAACTGCTATTTCAGAATTAGGAATTAAAATGACAGGATATGGCGCCAGTGCGGCGTACTTGCCGTTCACATGCCATTAGGTGCTACACAATGTACAGTTGAAGATAAATATGGAGTGCGGTAAATTGCACAACGCACAGAGGTACATACTGTGGGGATAAAACTTCTTGCCTTGTGGAATGTGGGGACGCCAGGAATGCGCTCTCGCAAGGTTCGCTCGACACGCTTGCAATCGGCCTTCCCCACGCGTGCTTCCCTTCTGATGGTCATTACAGAGGCATGTGGTAGATTGCCGATGTGCCATGTGGGGATGTGTTGCATGTAACAGAAAGCGAAGCACCTGTTCACGGCCTCAGTTCACTCCAGGACGAGAAAAAGTTGGAGGGAATAAGGTGGAGGGGATAATGCTTCCTTTTCCTCGATGTCTGCGGCCCAGTACTCGCGCTGTTGGCCGCTGGAACGCCGACTTTTTAGCCCTAGTGCACGACCAAGAGATTTGATTCTTGTATAACTGCAAGAGGACGTGCCTCTGGACCAGAATACTGCAGCTTTCGCGCATTGACGGCTAAAAGGCCACTTTCTCTGCACCGGCGTACGACCAACAGACCTGATTCTTGTACGACTGCAAGAGGACGTGCCTCCTGTCCTCCTCCCCGTTGCGCATGTCGTCCACCATGCTGGCGAACAGGCGGCAAAACTCTTCAGATTGCTCTCGCGCCAAAGCCATCATGCACGGCTCCCCCATGGCACGGACGTCATGGCGGTCGCTGCTCGCGATGGACACACTGATGCCACCTTCCTCAAGGGCCGGAAGGAGGAACCTGCCAAGAAACACAAAGGAACGTAGTGTGACAAATGAAGCACAGTGAAACACATGAATACAATGTATGAAACAAAAGCAACACATAGGATGTCGCAGAATCGCTGCTTGCGTGGCAACACAAAGCAGTTTGCCTTGTCGATGTGAATTGCAGAGCTGCCCTATTTCGTGCGAACGCATCATATTGCCTGCGCACACCGCACATGTTACAAGGCCTTCACAAACGACAAACGAGACTCGGGGGCTGCAAACTTTCCATGGGTTCAACATACTCCCGTGTCACCCCGTCGGCAAGATAGGAACACTGCATTTGTACCGTATCCAATAGAAATGTCCAGCACGAATATTCCGCATCCAGCGGCCATTACCATTATTGCAGGGGCATTGACGCACCTCACGACTCTTCCCATTTCCGGGGTGAGGAAGTTTGTCACCAATTTTTCGTCGTTTTGTGCAAGCGCCATCTCAAAGGCTTCGGGCTCCGTCACTCCTCGATCCATGTGGGCAGCCACCTGGCTCTCGACGCCCGACACAACGCAAGGCGGGTCGATGAACACAACATTGGGCGCGCCCTCGCCTGACCCGCCCCCCCGACGTAGGGAAGCGCCTGCCCAACAGAAGTCGATCAACTTTGGCGTCGATTTCCTCCAGCACAAGTCCGAAACAGTTGTGTTTGCGCACGGCCCCTCGCCAGCCCCGCGGTGCGCATGGACGACGCGTGGGCGCCGTTCGCATGGATGGCGCGTGGGCGCGCAATCCTACCACAATATACAGCCGAAGGCCGTCCTACATTGCGCCCGTACTCGCTCCCCTTGACAGACATTTTGGCTGCCACGCCCCCGTGCCAGCAACTCGCCGACAGCAACCGCCCCGACAAACCATACGCATGAAAGGCGCAAACCTACAACCACCCGCGTTGTAGCGTCTATGCTGATACGACATTGCACCTGCCCGCGCGGGCGAGCGCAGTTACCGCGATATCACCTTTGCCGCGAGCGCCTCCCTTCGGCCATCCCCGCGCCGCGAGGGACCGCCTTGTCAAATTTCCCTGCGTCTTTGGCGGGCCGCAGGCAGCCAGCTCTGTTGACCGCTCATCCGGCAACTCGGACGCCTGACAAAGCCGAGGGGTCATTGTCCATCGACGCCGCGGAGCCGCCTCAGCCACTGGCGACCGCGGCGAGCCAGCCAGTCTGCTCCCCGGAACAGAGCCGTCCCCCCCTTTCTGTGACCGCATCGCTGGCTTGCAGTCAAAGAAAATGCCACCGCATGATGATAACATAGTGGCTGTTCCGAGATCGGCAACCACGCCAGCCCGTGGGCGGCAGGGGGCGGGCATTTTCATCAGAGGGTGGAGACGGCGCCACTGCCAAGGCGGCTCCAAAGCTCGCGCGAAAAGGCTCACGAAAGAAGCGCATGATCCGACGCAGAGACGTGTTCCTACCGCGGGCGCTTGGAGGCATGCTTGCCAAGGTGTCGTACGGCCGATTGACGTTGACCGGCGGGCACTCACGTTCAAACGCCGCCGACAGACCAGGGCGCTCGCCCCTGCCGCCCTCGTTCTCCCCCTTTTCCTCCATCTGGAAAGGTTCCTAGCGTCGGCTCGCCAGCCGACGGGCCCGCCTCCGTGTTGGGATGCCGGGAGAGTTCCGATCCGGAAGGCTGGCTCCTCCGTGTGTGGGTAGACTATGGGTCAACGGTCGGTCAACGCCAGCGCGTTGACCGTGTTGACTCCCTGCGCCACGCCCTTTTGGTGGCGCCGGCGGGGCGCAGCGCCAGCGTTGGTGTCTCTCGCTGCTCTCCGCGCTCTCGCGGGTGAGGCGCGGCCGCTATGTACCCGGGGGCGAATCCCGGTTGCGCCTGGATTACGTGGGCTTTTGGTGGGCGCACTTTTCGCATTTCTTTGCCACTTTCTGCGCTTATTGCGTTGGCATGGGAGGGTCGATCCGTGCGACACTTGATCACGTGGCCGTGGTCGGGCGCTCACTTTTCTGACAGAATCGGATCGACTTCCAAGGGCAAAGCAGCGGCGGTGTTGGCGCGTGGTGCAGCGCCGCCAAAAGGGGGCACGCACGTTTTGGGTACGTGGCGCTTGATTGGAGGGCTGGATTCGCATCTTGAAGGGCTGTGGGGCCAGGTTGTAGGCAATCCGGCCCGGCCTGCGTCCAGCGCGGAATGCGCAGACGAACGGCCCTGTTGTGAATGCTTGCCCTTCGCGAATGTGACCAATCGGTGGCGCCCAGAAGCAGTGGCGGTGCACGCCACTCCGTGGTTTGTGCCCGAGATCGAGTCGCTGGCGCATCGTGTGCCTTTATTATATTATTATTTGTATATTATTTGTATTATTTTTGCCGTTTTGGCGATTCCAACCGCGATGCCATTTGACGCTGATGAGCGCTATCAGAGCCATTTTGACAGCTGTATTTTCAGTAGGTTTTATTACACGTAATAATATTACAAATAAATATTGTACTACATGTAATACGTATTACATTTATTGGTAGTTTCAGCGCTCATCGGGACATCCAGTCACGTGATGAAGACACAAACAACGACCAGTCCTCCGCCTCCTCCAGCACTCGCAACACAGCGTCCACCTCGATCGGCAAGGGCGAAGACGCGGTAGAAAAGCGTTCGTTTTCTGCCCACTGCGCCGTCAGCCTGTGCGTTGAGGCGTGGTTTCCTGACGATAAACCAGCACAGCCAATCCGATTTTCTGCGAACTGACACCCATAACACATTTGATGGCAAGCCCAAGGCTGCCCGCCTTAGAGTCTCAAACTCGTGCGGCGGCACAGGGGGATGGATCGCGCCCCCCCGCGAAGTCACAGAGAGGTGCGGGAAATTGCAACGCGTTACAGGCATCGCACGTCACAGGAGTCCAGCAAAGGGGTGGGGGGTGGGGCGGGGGGTAATGGCAGGTTGCAGGGAAGGAGGGAGGGGAGCATTGTGGCGCGCCACTGGCGTCGCACACGGCATGCAGCAAGGGGGGACCATGGCACTTGGCTAACGTCTTTCGGTGAGGAGTGCTGCAAAGCTCAGAAGTTCAAAGTTCACGGCTGTGCCGATGTTTCCCAAAGATGTGTTGACTTTCTTATCCACCAACGTGTCCCTGCTTTTAGGCCCAAGTGCGCACGAGCGCCGAGCGCGGCCACAGACGGCATGCCGAGATCGGGTCGCCTGTCGCAGCGGCATTCGAACCAGTACGACGCAGCCACAGGAGCAACGGGCTCAGAGGGCCTTGCGAACTTTTTCAAGGCCACGGTGCTCTCCGCCACTGCTTCCCAGCTCCTGGGCCCCAGCCAGAAGCGGTCCTGGCGCGCTCTCCACTAGATCCCCGAATCCAGTACTTTGCCAGAGCCCAGACCTGACAATCTGTCGCTACTTGTTGGCGAAGACACTGGAACCTTCTGGTGGAGGCATCCACCGTTTTGCCTTCACCTTGCTTAGCCTGCCGCAACTCATTTGGCCAACTCACCAAAGTGATCGCTTCAAATGTCTCTCTCGCTGCCTTGAAAAACATCGCACAGCTTACACTATGGGTCCCCTTCGCGGCTCCCAAGCCAATACTCGGCCGCCCCAACGAGGCGTGCTTCAACGCAGCACAGCTCCATGGCCTTCGGCCGGTCGCTCGCCGAACAGATCCGCCTTACATGCTTCAACCTTGAGACGGGGCCTTTGCTCGCTCAATCGCATTGCCAGACTTTCAGTTTGCCCGCCATATCCTTGCACTCGCATAACCCTTTCGTCAATGTCGATAAAATTTCAAAGTCACAGAAATTATTTTCGAAAAGCTTCCTCAAAAGTGTTTCCTTCTTTACCAGAGGAGGTTGCGACCAGCCTCGTCGTACCGAGGCGTCCGGCGGCCCGTCTTGGCACCGTCCGGCGGCGCAGCGAAGCCCAAAGTACGCGGTGACGCACTTCCCGCACCGCAGCCTGACGGAAATCAAATGTTTCACCCCGCGGGAGCGTCGCGGCGGCCGAAGGACTGCGCGGCGTCGCTCACCCGAGGGGTCCGCCGATGCGAAAAATCCTCGAATTTCTCCTGTTGTCAACCTTGGGTTTTTCGCCGTCTTTAGACGTGGGCAGCGCGCGCCTTGCACCTTACGCCCCAGCTTTCCGCGGGTAAAAAAATTGTCCAAAGTACACGGTCCTGAAAACCGTGTATCGTGCTATGCGTGTAAAATTCGTGTAAACATCGTGTACCCATCGTGTACTGATCACAAAACAGACGGCTGCCGCTGGTACACGGTTGAAATCGTGTAAAATCGTGTTATTTATTGCGTTGTGCATGGTGGTAAGGTGGACCACTTTCGTGTACTACACAGGGCTGAAAACTACACGACTTTAACAATCGTGTAAAATCGTGCTTCGAAGTGCCCGATTTCTGCACGGTTTTAACTCGATTTCACACGATTGCACACCGTGCAAATTTCTACCCGTGTTTCGGTGCCTAGAGCGTTGTTGCTGTGCCGCGTGAGTTGCGACGTCAAGCTCGTCAAGCGCCCCGTCCGCACATGACCACCGTCCCGCCTCCTTCGCCACTGATGCGCAGCCCTTTACATGCCTGGGATGGGTTGTTGTCGGATCTGAGTTCCGGGGTCGGTCAACAAGACCGGCGAATGAAATTTGTGGGCAAGGACGCAAGGACTCGCAGACATGCAGCACGCACACGGCGCGGCACACGGCACGACTTGAGCGGATCAGCGAGGCGCGGCAGCCGGTGCAAGGAGGGGTAGGGGGCCCTGTTTGCCCACGGAGCATCCACCCAATGGGCATGAGCCCATTGGTTGATTGTCGCGTCCGGACGTCCGCGGCGAGGGGGTGAGGCTGTTGCGCACTAAGCAAGGGCGTTGCGCCCGATGCAGACTTTGCACCTTTAAGGCGGTAGACTGCCGACAGACTCCATGGACCATGGCTCCTTGCCCAGCCCCCTCCTTCCCTGTTGTGGCCGTGTGCAGAAGAGTGAGTATGAAAATTCATCAGCGTTGCATGGCAGCCGGCAGGCACGCGAGTCAGTGCGTGCGCATGGCTGGTCTCGATGTGGCTGAGGGTCCGCCATGTGGGTTTGTTTTGGCCTACCGGCAAGACAGCGAACTCTTGCTTCAAAAGCGGCTCTTGTCACACCTGGCTAAGTCGGCTAATGCCGCCATGGTCCATCGCTCTGCCTTGGCAAAGCGCCTGGACACCTGCCACCTCGACGACCCAACCAGCCACGTCACGGTGACTGCACTACCCAGCCGACCTCGAGACGCCTACCCACTGTAGCCTCCTGCCCGCGCTGCCCGAGAATTGTGCTTGGGCTTGCCAGATGCCAGACGCCATGCCAGAATCCCCGTGGTTTCCAGCTGTGGTCCTGGGAGCTGTGGCCAGGATGGTGGCCACGGCTTTCAAGGTCACTTGGCGGAGGTAGGGAATCCTCTTGCTCCCCGCCCGTCTGTGCTGCCGCTCACTTCTTCGATCGGCTTGTCCATTGCCTCAGTGCCTACTCCTGCTCCCCACTTTCCAGCGCCTCTGGCGCATGTGCTGGCGATCGGCATTTCGCCACCAGCGGCACAACAATTGGCGAAAACGAAATTGGGCGAGGATGCGTGACAACTGTGCGAACACTCTATCATATTCGACGGGCGCGGGCTTGGTGAAGTGGCTGACCTTCCGACAGGGGCTGGGGTCCAAGAATTCCCCGGTTCACCAGTGGATCTGCTGCTTTCGAACTTGCCGCCAAGGAGATGGCTGACTTCGAGCGCGGCGATTGCGACGCTTTTGGGGCATTGTTGGCCAGCCATCTTCCACGGATGGACTACTCTGCCAATCTGCGTCTGTCTGGCCTGAATTGGAATTTTCTGGATGAGCTGCTACCAGAACAGGGGATACTTCGAGGAGCATTGGCTGTGAAGGTTGCCTGAACTGTGCCACGATGGGCCATCGAAATGGCAACATTGCCACTGGATTAATCCAGTTGTCCGCACAAGATCGACGGTTTCGTGACACCCCTATCCAGGGACTCAAGTATACCAGCGCTTGAAGGTGTGGTTCACCAGCACGTTAGCGTTCGTAAAAAGATTGAGGTTCTAGAGAAGCTGCCTTGGCTACAAAATGTCGACCCTGGTTGTGCCATACCGCGCCATCGAGGTGGCCTACCTTCGATCTTCACAAAAATCAGCTATTCTGCTGTTGGCCAGATTAGCTGGAATCCTTCTTTGGATGTCTCCTTACACACTTCTGTTGCACCAGCTCTAGCTTTAAAGACATCTGCCTTCGAATTGACCAACAGTAAAGTCCACGAGATCTGCGATTCGCTAGCTGTGCCGTGGCTGGGATGTTTTGGGAATCTCCTTGTGTGACCGACGGAAACACACGCGTGGTGCATGTTGTGCCAACAACATGGCCAGCTAGCAATCTCAACAAGATATGGGATTTTCAGTACCCACGTTGGCCAACCATTCTGGGGATCCTTCTTTGCTGCTTGTCTCAATTTTCTTGCGGCTCCCACTAAGTCTGATCCCAGATGCACCCACGGATGACCAACCATCTCCGTTAGATTGAGGACAATGCCAGATCTTTGCTAATGGCCCGAAATCCCTAATTGAGGTTGCCCTGGATCTTCTTGTGCAGGCTACCCTCCACACTCCTATGAAGGCTGCAATGCAACCTTCTATGAAGTCTGCCTTTTCTGTACCCAACAACGACTTTAAAAAGGCCAAGTAGCCAACTTTGCAAGATCTGCGAATGTGTTGCTCATTTGGTGCCAAATCCTTGAGATTCTCCTTGGGCAGTTAACCCGCACCACCTATCTGCAATTCTTTATCGGAATTGAGCAAACTTTTTGAGATTCCCTTTGGGCACCGGACTTTTACCCACTACGGAGGCCAGCATACCAGGATTGGGATAAGCCTTCAAAATAACCAATTTGCAATCTCTGCAGCATCTGCGACTTCCTGTCTCAATTGGTGCCGAATTCTATGAGACTCGCCTTGGGCGGCGGACCTACACTTACCTGTGGAGACTAAACTGATTGACCAGCTGTGCTGTGACTTCAAACCAATCAGCCAGTGATCTTCAGAGCATCTGCGATTTTCCACCTCCACTTGGGTGGACATCCTTTGGGAAGCTTGTCTTGCCCTCCCTCCCTCCCTCCCTTCGTTCGTTCGTTCGTTCATTTCCTTTCATTAATTCATTCATTTCAAAATGATTGATTTAATGAAAGGAAATGAATCAGAGCCCGCGCTGTGATGGATGAAAATAGATGTGCAAAATGCTGGATATTTAATGATACGTTTGGCTATTAATCGTGGGTCGGACAGATGCCGGCCCGGCGCTGTGGCTCGCGGGTCAGTGACCCTCTCCGGAGAGGCCGGGCGTACTGCGCAGTAAATGCGGCAAATGTACTGCGTCGCCTTACATCCTGCGCGAGTACTCGATGCTCCCCAAGTTTCCCCCGCGATGCCTCCGCGGGAAGGGCGCCGAGGCAGTACAGGCAAATGTACGGCACAGGGGCGTCACGCCACGCACCCACGGCAGTCAAAGGTCAAAACCTCAACAACGCATAATGTACTGGACCGGCGTCGCCGCGACAGTGCGTGATGTACTGGCAACGCTGCAATGCACGCAATGTACTGGAGGCCGCCGCGAATCCGCGCCGCGGCCAAAAGCGTACCGCACCTAACGTTGCTTTGTGCGTACCGCCCGATCGCGGATGTGCGCCTATCTGGGTGATTACTAACGACGTGTGATTTGACACAGAGGAACAATCGACGATAACTAATCCCCGTCCCCCGCCAAAATTTAAACAGCGGCCGTGGCGGGCAACCCCATCGCGCCAGTCTGTCACCCCCATCCTTGAAACTGCGCCGCCGGACCGACGCTTTGGCCTCCGGAACAACGCTTCGAAGTGTCGGCGCCCTTTCGAGCGGCGTCGAAAGTCAACGGGCTGGCGTTGACTTTGTTCACCGGGTCACCGCCCTGGGAACTGCCGCAGACATCCGTTGACAAGGCGTTGACACGGGATGGCGGGGCATGGTGAGCGCTGGGGCCCCAGGTGCCACCGATTGGACTTCGGAGCGCGGAACGGGTTCATGTGTGGAATGGCCGCGGCGGCGGCAATGTCTGGGGAATCCATTGAACGGCGTCGACCAAGCGCTGACCGAGTGAACGCCAACGCGCGGCGGACGCCCCGTCCCGGCACGCCGAGCCCGCGCACGGGTTGGGGCACCAATCGACGGTGGCAGCGATATGTGGGGATGCGTTGGCCATGGTCAACGCGGTCAACGCTGGTGTGCACGGGGTCAACGCGGGCGCGGTGACGAAATCCGGGGTGCGAAAATGGCGCGATCTTTCGCCGGGGAGATTTCCAGTTCGGCCGGATTCGAACATCCCGCCCATGGGCCAGCCATCTTGCCTGGGGAGCGAAATGGCGGGAAGTTTTCGGTTGGGTTCCGTTTCGACATCCTCGGATTCGAATCTCTGCCGCGCTTTTGGAGCGCACCTCCCTCCCCCAGCGCGGAAATTTCTCCAAGGTGTGAGGGGGGCATCCGTGGTGGCGCACGGATCGAATGCCGCTGACCGGGTCAACGCGGTCAACGCGTTTGGTCAACGAGACTTGCGGCCCGGAAGGTTGTCGGCCGAACCGTCGGGCGCCGTTCTCGCCGCGCCGTTTGGCGCGTCGCCGAAGGCTTTTGGTGCGATGGTTTCGAAGGCGATGTGTTCTGGATTGCAGGGTGAGGGGTGTATGTGACGCGTGACGCGGGCGTGTCCCATCGTAACGCAGTACAGGTCCAGTACTTACGGGAGTAGGTCCCGTTCTTTGTGACTTCAGAGAGAGGGGCGGAGTGACGCGTGACATTACGCGGGCCGATGGGCGGCGATTTCGTGGTTACTTCACGGCGAGGGGTATCGTGACGAGTTAACGCGCGCCACGCACGACGCAACGCGGCCACAAAACGCCGCCCTCAGTATTGACGCGGTGGGAGCGCGTTCTTGATTTATTCGTGCTGAGGGGTCCAGTGACGCATGACGCTGCCGTGCCGTAGCGCAACGCGATCGCGCAGTACAGCGCTGAGTACTGAGTACTGAGTACGCGAGCGATGATTTCGTGGCGATTTCGCGGCGAGGGGTGGAGTGACGCTTGAAGTGGGCGCTGTGTAACGTAGCGCGGTCATCCAAGCGCGGCTTAAGTACTGCAGGTAGGTGGCAATGACTGCATGGCGATTTCATGGTGATGCTGGAGGGACGTATTGTACGTGCCTGGCGCAGCGTAACAAGGTCGCGCAACCACGTCAAGGTGATGGGTGCAGTGACGCTGGAACTGGCGCAACGTAACGCGGGCGCCCAAAACTGGCCTGAGCACTGGGTTGGTGGCCCTTGACGGCCGCTGGTGTTGGCGCTTTGAAGCTTACATATTTTGAGGCACCCGTAAAGGCAGACGATATTTCACGTTTTTAGGCGCAAGAATAACTTTTACGTTTTGCACGTGAAAACGCATAAAAAGACGTAACTGCAACGTAAAAACCCGCCCGACATGCATAAGGACGGTATACATAGACTTACCGAGTCCGGGGAGTAGCAGCCACGCGCGCTGGGGTGGGCAGAAAACATTTTGCTCGACGACGTCGTTGCCGTTGCTGCAGCCCTGGTGGACGCTATGCTGCGCAGGCTGGAGGGGGCAGAGGACTGATCATTGTACACGACTTCCATCGTGTAACCTAGGTGTCCCAACGAGCAGTAAGAACGTAAAACGCGGCCGTAAAAATAGCCGCTTCTGCATATTTACGTTTTTGCGCATAAAGACGTAAAACGCCAAAACGCAAACATTAACAAGCCTGATTGGGGGCGATAGTTGGATGATCGCGCATCATTGCTGGCCAGCCTTGCCGTCGGTGCCTGTGCGTCCGGGTCGCTTGAAGGAACAAACCAGTGCAATGAGCTGCAACTCCTGATCTGCCAGGCCATGCCTTCCACACGGAGAGCCGACGTCTGTTCTCTGAGATAGAGCATCTATAAGCGCATTAACGGTACTTTAGGTATATTTGTAAGGGTTTGGCCCCATCCCCCCGAACCTTCATCAAAGCTCCAAACGAGCGCTTTACAACGGGTGGCGCATGGCCCACATCGCTTCTATTAAGGTGTGATTGGCCCCAGGACTCTTTGTGTTGTGTTGCATTACGTTGCGCGGAATGTTTTGGGAATCTGGATGCCGGCTCACCCGAAGTGCTGAGGCGTGGCGCGTATTCAGTGACATTCCAGCATACGCCACCACAATTGCGGCATGACTGTCCGGAATTGCCACAGTGTTGTCATATTTACTGCATGGCGGTTGCCACGGTGATCTGCGCGATTTACAATTCGAGATTTAAATCGTACAAATGGGATGTAATTTTCACATTTCACCATCCAAAAATACGCTTCGCTGTAATAAGTGGTGATTGGGCCACGTTTTCAGGAAAGCGGCACGAGGCTCATTACTTTAAAGCGCTGGCTTTATCAGAATCCGTGTATGGATTCTTTCAATGGCAGGCACCATTTACAGCGTTACGAACTAAAAGGGATTAGTAAATTTGTTGATGACCTCATCAACGACTGCCGTGTAGGTGGGCATGACGCGAAGCTTCCAGGCATAGCCCTCGTCGACCCGCCGTGCCTTGGAGCCCGTTGCGAGTGCGAGGTCGAAATTCGCCTGCAGCACGAATTTCAGGGAGGGGAAGGGCGCTTAGTCATCGTCGGAGGGGGTGGCGTGACCGTGGCCAGCGTCCCCCTGACTGATGTGACAGGACGAACGGTCAGGTGACGTAGTTGACCGCGTTAGTAACCCCATGGCAGGTGATGCTGGAAGTGCTTGTTGTACTACGCCCATTCATTGCATTCGCTGTTTTGTATTAGTATCTGGATTAATCGCTTCAGTACTTAGCAGCGTGCACTGATCGCTTTTCAATTCCTGGCAGTCTGAGCTCTCGCTGTGGGAGCTCGCTATTAAGCATGGATTTGTAAAAGGTGGTACAAGACTTTGTACTTATAGTACCGTGTTGTACACTTTATATTGAAATAATGCAATGATTACTAATGACGGCTGTTCGTTGGCAGTGGCGGCATCCCGGCAATCCATTCGAAAATGAGTCCCCAGCCGCTGCGGCCTTTCAGCACACATGTAATGAATACTGCATTTGACTTTTTAACAATCATCAAGGCGGAACATAATGTCAATTGAAATAACAAAATATAATTCAGTTAATTTTCAATAATTCAATTTGGATTAAAGGAAAACATGAATAAACTGAAATAAGTAGATAAATGAAACAAATGCGTGAAGCAAATTTAAAAATAAATGCAAACATAGATAAATGAACTAAAATGATATAAAATGAAACGAATATGTTAAAATAAAGCCAAAATATGGTCAATCATTAACTTTATTTGAATTAAATGCACTTGGCAGGGTCCTCCTTCCACCCCAGGAGGCCGGCCCGTTGACCGTGGGCGTCGAAGGTAGCTTGTCGGAAGCTGCTTATGCGACCCTGTTGGTCCTCCCGAGCGATGCCTGCCGGGACGTGGAGGAGATATTCGTGCTGATGGCGGATGCTATCAGGGAGGAGGTGCGCTCGCGTAAATTATTGGACAGTGCTGGGCGAAGCGGTTGTGAAATAAATTGTACTGTCCAGTACAGGTTGCGGTACCGCCGATGCAAAATGGTGAATAGCAAATAACGAATTGCTCAACGCGATACAATGCACTAGAAAATAACGGATCGGCACCGCTGAGGAACAAATTACTAAGGAGCGATGGCTATAATGCTCGTGATGACAATAAACGTTGGCCACGTCTGCAGGGGCTGACCCTGCAGAAACACATGGCGGTTTCCCGCGAGTCCCCAATCTTTCCGACATTTTTCTGACATTTCAAAGTACTAAAGACAACACTATAGTATTTAAAGTTTCTGAGAACAAAGCCAATCAATGCTCAGAACACTTATGCAATTTGGTGATTGCAAAGTAAGTAATTCGATTAATCGGCAACAATATTGTTGCCTGACAAAATCCCGTCTGGCCACATTTTCAGGCATCGCCCCTGCGAAGCGGCACTGCGGACGCCCGCGAGTCCCTGATCCTGGAGTCCGCCTGGCGCGACTACTTCCAGCCCTTCGCCACAGACCTGGGCGGCCTGCTTCAAGTTTTGGCGGCAAAAGGACAGTTGAGCCCGCGAGATTCGAATCTGCTGCACTCGCAGCTGGTGTACATGTTGCAGAACTGCGCGTGGGCGCTTGCGGCGTACTTTTTGAGGGCGTGCCTGAGTTACGGAATTCCCATAAAAATAGGATCGTGCCAGTTTTCTGAGGAGGACGTGGACCCGGCGGTGCTCCGGCGACTGGCCCAGGAGTTCGAGTGAAGGCGCGAAGTACAGGGAGAGGCATTTTGCTTCTTGGGATGCTGAAGTACTGGACGAGTGCAGCATTTTGGCGAACAAAAAATGGCGCAGAAAATGGGGTAGCATCGCTTACGGTACTCCGATGATGGTCTGTCAATTTTCTGAGGAGGATGCAGATCAAATGGTGCTTCGGCGGCTGGCCGAGGATTTCGAGTGATGGCGCAAAGTACGGGGCGACATGGGTGGCCCTTTGCTGCTGCCTAAGTACTGGATGCGAGGCACATTTTCATTCGCTAATTCGCAGAATCGGAATACGAATCGGAAGAATCGGGGGTCGAGGGATACTTTGGTAGTCCAATGGGTGAACTTGGGGGAAAATTGATCAACCATATCAACAAGACACGGTTGATGGGCTCAAATATTCTGAGATCCTATATAGGAATTACGAGCCCGTGGGCCCATCTTGGAACGCTAGGGACGACCGCGTTGAACATGGAAGGAGCGCTTGACTTGATGAGTCACGCGTTCCTGTCGTTATCGATGTGCTCATTTTATTAATTGTGCATTTTCATTTTGGGATTACGAAAGGGTGTCAAGGGAATTGTGAATGGTTGGAATATGACGTCATGAGCCATGATTCTCCATTGGGAGCGTTGGCTTGTTGTGGAATGAGTGGCTTCAATTAGGCGGTTGTAGTTGCTGCGGTGCCAGAGATACAAGGCAATTTGGCCAAGTCCCAGAACACCAGAAAAGTGGCACGGGTAATTGAAGGGTCATTTGCCAATAACGTGGAGGTGACGGCCCGACACTTCTGCTGAGCGTCGTTGCAACATTGCAAGCGCTTGTTCGGTTAGGGGAAGTCTTACTAGGTGTCCCGGGATCCTGCATCAGTGAAGCATCAAGCAGTAAGTTGGGTGGGACATTCTGTAATAGTCGGGGATGTGTTTTGGCAGGGGGCGCTTTGCAATTACCATTGGTGAGAAATTTGCGGCTGCCTTGAGTAGCTGATTTGATTGGGAGCAGCGGCGCATTTTCGGGTCCTGGAGAATTTTTTAGTCCATGTACTTTGAGGAGATGCTGTGAAGCAACGTCACGCATCAGGGTGCCTATTCTTTTCAAAGCTTGCAAAGCGGTCCTTTCGGCTTGCTTTTCACAGCCTCATGTCAATTTGTATTCGAAAGCTATTGCGCGTCTTGCTGTTTCCAACGCTAGCAGCTGAAGCGCGGGCCACCACCTGGGCACTGCGTGGAGGTTGAAGGGATCTGCTTGCGGGCGAACCTGGTATTTTCCACCTACCCTCTTCATTATTTCCTCGAGAACCATTCTCATTACTTTTATTCTTGTTCATTGTCAAAGCGCAATAATGAAATGTACACAACGCAATCAGCTCTATAAAACTACAGTAAGTTATGCACAGCTTCCTTTCTTGACGCGTTTTTCAAAAGTCGATAGACTATCTTCTGTACTTCTTTTGCCGGCCAATCTGCAGCTGATGTTTCATCACGATGAGTAACCCTCTAAAGTGATTTTCCTGTAATTGAATCTGAAGTCATTTGTATACATTGGCCATACTGAAGCGACAATACTTGGCATCCAACCACATTCAAAGCAGCCTTGTGGGCGCGGTGTCTCCATAAAGTACAGTACTTAAGAGTATGATGGTAGAAAGCACTTTTCTCTTAACAAATACTGGACATTTCGCCCATGCTGTACTTAACACATCTGCGCCACCCTGTGAATTCGAAGAAGTGTTTACTTTGCAAAGGATACCAAAGGCAATCAAGCCATATAAAGTGGATCAAAAAGATCTCAATTGCCATTGAGAGAGGCAGCACCAAAAGAACTAGTACAATCAAATAGACATGGGAAAACAGCAGGTAGTGCAAAAGCATCGTGTCCTGATATCAGTCGCAGCAAAAGAAAACCCAACAGGCAGAAATTTGTGGAGGCCATATCTGAACACCAATGACCTCCTGAAGGCCTATAAAAACACCACATAAACATATGCACAAAAGGTACCCAAACATCTCCACTTTCATCCTCTACAAGTCAGCGCAGTTGAAAAAGACATCAATCAAACTGGAAAAGCCAGAGAATCGTCCACATCAAAGCGAGAAAAGGACATACCACAACAATCTCGAGTTAGTAAGCCCAATTGTCTATGCTTGTGTAAAACTCACAGCTCAGACTAAGACAGACAATGACTAATCCTCCACTTCAAGCAGGTTTGTGCTGCAACCATACTCACTGGCATCACACCTCACACTGCGAGCAAGGCGCGGTACTGCCTTGATCAAGCTTGGGAACACAAACTTCACTAAAATGTCTGCAACCGACAGTGTCAATGATGCCATGGCTCCTGTGATGGCCCAGCCATCATCCTCTTCAATGACAATCATGAATGCAATCTGGAGTGCCATTTGTGGCAGATCTTCAAGCAGGCCTGCCATAAATGCAACCCTGGCAAAGTACTGGTGAACAAAGCCTGCTTTCCTATCAGCCATCTTGTCGTCATCATTGCGAGTCAGTTTGGGGTCCCAAGGAAGGTGCTTGATCACTTCAGCATCAAAAAACAGGAGTCCAGGGAACAAAAGCAGCCAATCTCTCATGTGCATGGCCTTCTCATCCAGTAAGTACTGGTAGAGCGTGGACACTGGGGGGTCTGACTTGATTTCACCTGCCACTTTCCTGCTGGTCAGGCCCCAGAATATGGCAGCGATCATGTACAACTCTGTGCCTAAAATTACTACAGCACTCAGCACAACAATTGCCAAGAGGTCCAGCTTTCTTTCCTGGTTTACCCTCCCCTTCTCAATGCTCCCAGCTGACTTGTCCTGATAGAGAATGAAGGCAGTGACCACAAACCCAACATCTGTTAGTACATCAGCCAAAGCCAAGAGATGACCAGCAAATGTGGCCAGCAGCTCATCCATGCGTCTCCTTGGGTGGTAAGGAGATTGAAGGTTAAACAGCATATAGTGAAAGAGCAGTATGGAAAGAATAATCATTGCCCCAATGATAGCAAAGCCAACAGCAGTTGGAATCAATCTCTCCACTTTGCACTCATCCTTGCGCAGCACAGTGACAAGCAGCATGCTGCCATTCTTTGCTTCAATGTGGGGCACAGCATTTTTTCTCTTGCGACACCCAGCTTCCTTGTATGGTAGTGGCTCCTCTGATGCAAAGTCAGTGAAATTGCCATTTGCAGTGATCCTTGTCAGATTCTTTACAACTGACAGATTTCCCAAGTCGATGTGTTTCAAGGCCTTGTTGCCTGAGATCACCAAATCTCCGTTCACATGATTTAGAGACCCAAAGCCATTCAACAACATCAAGCTGGGGTTGGAGGCAATGACGAAACCACCAAACAGATTGCCAATACCCCCATCTTCATGCCCATTCCTGGTAAGTGATGTCAAATTTGAGAAATTTGTGACAATCTGGAGATCGGCATTATTTACTATTGACAGACTTCCATTCAACACCAAAAGACTGGAGAAACAGTCTACACTTTTGTAGCCCATGTTGTCTCTTATCTCCAAGCCACACCCTGGTGCCAAACTTGGATTGTCACAAATGACTTCAAGGCTTTTAAACAACTGCAAACCACCTTCCTGGGAACTCGCCTTCACTTCATTGCCAACCATCTGCAGGCGCCCCCCAACAGACTTCAAGGCTCCCAACATGATTGCACTAGCAAGTTGATTTCGTTTTAAGGTCAGGCTTCCATGAATGGATTCCAGCCCATGCATGTATTTCCCTTTGGTCGCTTCAAAATTTATGTCGCACAGCACAAGGTCCTGACCCACAAGCTTTAGCCTTGGAAGTGCACTGCCATTCAGCAAGGGGAGCTCAGCTTTAATGTTGCTGATGCCTTTGTCAGTCCAAGTAAATGCAAAGCTGTTGTCTTGCAAATTATCAGAAATCACAAAGTTCCCTCCAACTTCCACCAGCTCCTTCAACAGAGTGAACTGCTTCAAGTTCCCATTTTTCTCAACCCTGAAATCTCCACCAACATACACCAGTCTTCTTAGCCCCTTTAGATTCTTCAATGCAAAATTTCCCCTGATTGTCAAACTGCCACCCACAGCAGCAATATTCCTGAGCCCATCAATGGTTTCAAGGTCATCATTAGAAAGTATGCTGATGTCTCCGGAAATGTTGGTCAAACTCCCCAGCCCATCAATACTGCTGAGCTGCCTGTTTTTCATGACAGTCAGATGTCTGTTGACCACGTGGAGATTCTTGAAGCCATCCAAATTTTGAAGAGCATGGTTGTCATAGACAACCAATCCTGACACAATCCTGGTCAGGTTTCTGAACACATCGACATTTGGAAGTCCAGTCCTGAAGATGTCAACTTGTCCCAAATGCTCAAGGGATTCAAATCCAGAAATGTCTGTGAGCAGTGGATTCTCTGAGATCCAGAACATCCCATCAACCTGGTGAAGGCCTTGAAATGCAGTAATGCTCACAAGACCAGTACGATAAATTTCCATATTTCGAGCCATCTCAAAGCTTCCAAAACCCGAAATGCTGGCAAGATGTGGGCATCTCATAATAATAAAATCATACACCCTAATCAGCCTTTCAAAGCCTGAAATACTTTTCAGATTCTTGTTGTTAGCAATGGTGATTATCCCTTCCACATTGTTGAGACTCTCAAACCCTGTAATGTTGTCCAGGTTGCCATTGTCCCAAATATACAATGCATTCGCCTGCACAAGACTTCCAAAACCTGATATGTCTTTCAGTGCATCGTTTTGTGTGATTTTGATAGCCAGGACATGTTTTAGAACATTCAAGGGACGCAAGGAACTGACAGAAGTATTCTGCAGGACAAAGGGTCCATGCATTGTCTCATTTAGAAATCCTGCAAATGGCTCTAATGATGTCAGCCTTCTTCCAGACACATACACAGACTCCAAGGACTTGCCAGCATGCTTCATGTCCTCAAGAACAATGGACAGGTTTCCTTCGGGCACGTCTATCCCTCTCTCACAGGAACACTCAGGAGGACC